GGGGTGGATCTTGTTGCTGAGTTTGAGATGAAGTGAGAGGAGATCTTTGTTGATTCGATCTAGGAGGAATCTTTTTGTGTGAAGTTCATTTCTGATTAGGGCCAATTCTGTTCTTTTCAGGATGCGTTTGGTGGCTGCAGAGTTGGAGTGGAATTTCAATTGGAAGCCTGTGGGGATCAAATTTTGATCTCGGCAGTTGTGGTGAATATTAGAATAGGTTTAACATTTTCTTTACAAATACAATATAACAAAATTTTGATATAATTATATTCTAAACAAATTAGCCTACAATTATGGCAAATATAATAAAATATACATTACAACTTAATGTTTAATAAGAGAGAGGTTGAAATTTATGTACTCGCCCCCTCCCTCTCTCTGAACATGTAGACTGAATAATACAGAATATAATTATATTTAGCAGCAAGACTTAACTAAATTATAATTCAGATTAGTTAAAGAATAATTAATCCATCAACAATTGATTCAGGTAGTCATCCAAGGATTATAAAGCAGTTTATTTTACTAGTTTGTTAATTAACATATCTGAGTAACAGATAATTCTGCTTGAATGGGTTGCAGAATACCTATGCCAAAGTTAGCATGCAATAGATTGGATAAATGGAAACTTCATAAACCATGAAATATGAATGACTGTACCAACATGTCAACATGGCCAATATAACTATTCACCCTGTAGATCTTACACAAGACTTGGGTTTATTTCCTATGTTTTCTGTAGCAATTCATCATACTGGTTCTGCCTATATATAATAGCAAAAATAACACTCTCAAGACTCTTATTTCTGTCTGGACTCATTCCTCTTTTTTACTCATGTTTTAACTTTACAGACCATACTATTGCTTTTAAATCTCCTGCTCTAGTATTCCATCCACTCAACTATACACTACAAATACTTTGTTTTTCTCTGTAAACCATATCTTAATCTTGACCACATTATCTCCATAATAGCTCCAGCTTTTCTCGTTTGTCTTTAACACAGCCAGCCTTTTTAATTCCTTACATCATTCCTCTACTGGCTATATAACTAACATCCTACCCAGGTAAAATTGTCTTATCTTGTCTTATTAACTATGATCAGGAACTGCATTCAAAATGTAAGAGAAACCTGGACACTGCAAAGCTTAAACACACTACTTACTTCTCCCACTACCTCAATGATGTCTCCAACTTTCAACTCCAGTTCATCTTCATTTTGAGGCATATAACTGAAAGCCACCTGACATCGTCGCCGTCTATTTCGTTCACCTACAATTGAATAAGATCCCAATATTTTTGTTATTAATTTTAAAGTGAATATTTAAACAGATATAGATGACAGGAAGATTGGATCTTTCTTACCCCTTTGAGCACACATTTAAGTTCAGCTTAGCATGCTATTTCTCAATGTCATAATAACAATCAGGTAACTTGCAATGACTACGTCAAACTGATAAATGGAATTGGTCCCTAGTGTAAAACTTTCTGATATGTAATTTCCTAGAAATCAATCTGTATTCAAAGTGATGTAGTTTTTTATAGTGTCTTGTATAGTGTCTTGTACAGCTTTCTTTTCAGATGCCTTCCAGTCTAGCCTATAACCCTGCAATTATATTGAAATTTCCACCCAAGTACTAACCCAACCTAGTCTTGCTGAACCTCTAAGCCCGGACAAGGGTTAGCCCAAATGTATATTACTGGTAGCTGTGTGGTCTTAGGCTACATGTCTGAGTTAAAGTAGCAATGTCTTGGTATGAACACATGGACATTCAGCAAGACCAATAACTAAGATAAGAAACTACCTGCTATGATGGGACTTGGCTGGTATCAGCTGAAACAATTTATAAGGATGGGATGGGTACTAAATCACTCACATACTCCTTTGGCCTCAATGACACAATGGGTTATAGCTACCCATTTTATAGCAATTTCAGAAAAACTAAGATCATCAAAATACAGTGCTATATTTACACTATATTTACAGTGCTATATTTACACTAGCAAGATTACAGCAAAGAATTCTGCCCCAAACAGATTTTAAACATTTACCAAAGAATGAGAACTACGGTAGGACATTTGATTTCTCCCACTGGTTTTGTTGGAGGATTTTTCTCTCCCTGAATTATTTTCATTACTTCTAGTTTTATAAGAACCACCACCATTTTCCTTAAATTGGTGCCTTTCAGATGTATTGAACATCACCGTAGAGATCAGCATGACAATTGGTGGTCTGCCTTTTCTATCAGGAACTATTCTTCTTCTACTACCTTACATGAGCCAACTAGCCTTTTCCTGGAAAACGGGATAAAAATGTTTCAGGCAAAATACTATCATAGAAGCACAGTATCCAGGAGTAGGTGTCTGTGAGGAACAGAAGTGTAGGGTAAAATAGATTAAAGTTCAATGGAGAGGTAAAAGAAAAACAGTATTAATACCACTTTACAATGCCTTGGTAAGGCCACACTTGGAATACTGCATCCAGTTTTGGTCACCACGATGTAAAAAAGATGTTGAGACTCTAGAAAGAGTACAGAGAAGAGCAACAAAGATGATTAGGGGACTGGAGGCTAAAACATATAAGGAACGGTTTCTGGAATTGGGAATGTCTAGCTTAATGAAGAGAAGGACGAAGGGGGACATGATAGCAGTGTTCCAATATCTCAGGGGCTGCCACAAAGAAGAGGGAGTCAAGCTATTTTCCAAGGCACCTGAAGGCAGGACAAGAAACAATGGATGGAAACTAACCAAAGAGAGAAGCAACCTAGAACTAAGGAGAAACTTCCTGACAGTTAGAACAATTAACCAGTGGAACAACCTCCCTCCAGAAGCGATGAATGCTCCAACACTGGAAGTTTTTAAGAAGAGACTGGACAGCCATTTATCTGAAATGGTATAGGGTTTCTTGCCTGAGCAGGGGGTTGGACTAGATGACCTCCAAGGTCCCTCCCAACTTTATTATTATTATTATTATTATTATTATTATTATTATTATTATTATTATTATTATTATTATTATTATTATTATTATTATTATTATTATAGAAGAAAATAATGAGTGTCATCAAAACACATAGATATCCCCCCCAACATAACTAATTGACGGAATTAATCAATTTTCCAACCTGGTGTCCCTTTCTTGTTTTGGGAGTGCTTGTTGGGAATGCCTTGTGCTAGCATTCCACATTTAGGAAACACTGAACCGAAAAAAATGAGCTTCAAAACTGTTTTTAAACTACTAGTAGTTAACTAACACCATTTTATGAATAATGTCCAGAACTGAGTAATATGTAATAATATGTTGTCTGTTTTTAATCATCATTATTATTGTTACATATTTTGTTATAGTATAAAATGAAGAAGTATTGTTAATTTTAACTATACTAAGAATATTAGCCAATCCATTTATAGCACTTCTAAACATTGCTTCCTGCAGCTGCTGAGTGCTAGGTCCTACATAGCTCGTAAAGTTAATGCACTTCTAGTAATTTAAAGTGTGATGGTTTGGGAGTTCAATTCCCACTAAAGCAGGGGTGTCAAACTCGCAATGTCACGTGACGTGTTGCGACGTATCGTGACTTTTTTTGCCATTGCCGGCAATGGGGTCGACGCGGTTTCGCTATGATACATCCGGCCCATGGGCCGGCAGTTTGTCACCCCTGCACTAGAGGGTCTGAACCCCACAGACTAATATTTGGCTACTTGTGTCAGAGGAATCCCAATAAAAATGAAACAAGTCATAATACAACTGAAAATAATATACATAATTTTATTTATTTATTGTATAAACACATTTTCTCTCCTCACTCATCCACACACTACAGGAGGGATGTATATAAGTCATGCAAAACTTATAAATGTAGACAGGTTATAATGTAATGTATCTTTTCTGAGAGCTTAAGAGAATGTTTATACCAGGGGTAGGCAACCCAAAACACTCAAAGAGCCACTTGGACTCGTTTCCCACAGAAAAAAAAAAACACTGGGAGCCGCAAAACCCTTTTGATATCTAAAATGAAGATAACACTGCATATATCCTGTTTTACCTTTTATGTATGTATGTATGTATGTATGTATGTATGTATGTATGTATGTATGTATGTGTTTGTGTGTGTATATATAAAATAAAGGTAAAAAAGGATATATGCATTGTTACCTTCATTTTAGATGTCAAAAGGGTCTCTCTGTCTCTCTTTCCTCTATTTCTCTTTCCTCTCTCTTTCCTCTCTTTTTTCTTTCCTCTTTTTCTCTTTCCTCTCCCCCTCTCACTTTCTCTTTCTCTCTCTCTTTCCTTTCTCTCTTTCCTCTTTCTCTTTCCTCTCTCTTTCCTATTTCTCTCTTTCTCTCTTTCCTCTCTGTCTCTTTCCTCTCTCTTTCTCTCCTCTTTCCTCTCTCTTTCCTCAATCTTTTTTCTCTTTCCCTCTTTTTCTCTTTCCTCTCCCCCTTTCTCTCTCTCCTCTCCCTCTTCCTCTCCCTTTCTTTCTTTCTCTTGCCTCTCCCCCTCTTTCCCTCTTTCCTCTCTTTTTCTCTTTCCTCTCCCCCTCTCTTTCTCTTTCCTCTCCCTCTTTCTCTCCCTTTCTTTCTCTTTCCTCTCTCCTCTTTCTCTCTCTCTTTCCTCTTTCTCTCTTTCCTCTCTCTCTCTCTCTTTCTCTTTCCTCTTTCTCAATTTCCTCTTTCTTTTCTCTCTTTCCTCTAACTTTCTCTCCCTCTCCTCTCTCTTTCTCTGTCTGTCTTTCCTCTTTCTCTTTCCTCTTTCTCGGGTGGGGAGGGGGAGCAGGACGGGAGGCAGCGGTGGCAGTGGTGGCAGACATTGCTGCATCGTCATGGTTCCCCACCGCCACCCCCGGCCCGGCCGCCACCCCCACCGTGTCCTCAGCCGAACGGGCGGGGAGGGGGAGAAGGACGGGAGGCAGCGTTGGCGGCGGCACGGCAACTTCGTCGGGGTTCCCCGCTGCCGCCCCGGCCCGGCCGCCGCCCTCGCCGGTACTCCACGCTGCCCTGCCTTGCCCTCTGCCCATCAATGGAGCCGCAGTGGAGGCAGCGCCCACCCGAGCTGCCTGGGGGGCACCAGGAGGAAGGAGAGGAGGAGGGCGAGGAAGCCGCCGCCCCAGCCGGGACTCCGCGCTGCCTGGCCTTGCCTTCCGCCATCTGATGGAGCCGTCGTGGGGGCTGGGGCTGCGTGGCCCCTGCCAGCCCAGCTGCTCCCCCCGGCACCCTTCTTGCCCCGGCGCCCGCCTGAGCCGCCTTGGTGGCAGCAGGAGGAAAAAGGGGAGGAGGAAGAGAAGGGCAAGGAAGCCGCCGCCAGCGCCAGGCCCCAGGAGGCGGCTCTCCTCTCCTACCTTGCCCATCCGATTAAGCTGCGGTGGGGGCTGGTGCTGCGCGGCCTGCCAGCCCCTCCGCCAGCTCAGCTGCTCCCCCCCAGGCACCCCTCTTCCTCCCGGCGCCCGCCCGAGCCGCCTTGGAGGCAGCAGGAGGAAGGAGAGGAGAAGGGCGAGAAAACTGCTGCTGCCATCCCAGCCGCGACTCCGCGCTGCTTGGCCTCGCCCTTCGCCCATTCAATGAAGCCGCGGTGGAGGCTGGGGCCGCGCGGCCCGCTAGCCCCTCCGGCAGACCAGCTGCTCCCCCCAGGCACCCCTCTTGCCCCGGCGCCCGCCCAAGCCGCTTTGGGGGCAGCAGGAGGAAGGAGAGAAGGGCGAGAAAACTGCTGCTGCCGTCCCAGCCATGACTCCGCGCTGCCCGACCTCGCCCTCCGCCCATTCGATGGAGCCGCGGTGGGGGCTGGGGCCACGCGGCCCGCTAGCCCCTCCGCCAGCCCGGCTGCTCCCCCCAGGCAACCCTCTTGCCCCGGCGCCCGCCCGAGCCGCCTTGGGGGCAACAGGAGGAAGAAGGGGAGGAGGAAGAGGATGGCAAGGAAGCTGCCGCCAGCGCTGGGCCCCAGGAGGCAGCTCTCCTCTCCTACCTTTGCTGAATCTCCTTCTTCCTTCCCGGCAGCCTGGACTCCGGCGCGCCTTCCTGGCCAGCGGGTCCAATGGTCGGGCTGGCTGGGGATCGCAGGGGCTGGTCTCCCTTGGGCCGCAGCTTGCGGGAGGGCTGTCCCGTTCAACGGAGCCTCCAGCGGGCCACTCCCATCAGGGATCCCGGGGCTTCCCCGGGCGGCTTCAAGGCCACGAGGGCCTGGCCACGCTTCTCCCAGGGGGTGGGGCACCCGGGCACAGGGCCAATCAGGAGCCCTGCAGGAGGTAAGTCCGCCTGAGAGAGAGAGAGAAGGGAAG